AAATTTTTCGATGTCGTTGCGCTGTATACGACTGGTCAAAACGTACCTGCACTGCAAACTGTGCATGAGCTTTTGTAATAAACGAGATTTCTATCAACTTCACGGATTCTCAATACAACAGATTATGGCCCGCAGTTAACCCCTCATCAGTGCATCTCTCTTGACGCGGACCGGGGGCGAGCTCATCGCGCCTCAGTCCAGCATCCGGCGAGCTATTGATTTGGATGTGGATCGCTTCCTATACATGATGACCACATGTGTTCTCAAAAAACCAACCACTTGAGCTGGTCTGGTCAAACGGATAAGCGATTGGAATCACACGCGAGCGGTCGTGGTTCGTTACCGGCTAGCACCACAACTTTTGCTGCATCGCAGGACAATCTTTGATAGCGGCCACTGTCGAAAAAAATCGATGATGACCGCTAATAAGGATATCACTTAGCAAATGGACAGATAAAACAAAACTGACATATTTTGACGGAGAATTCATGAAAAACTGAAATTTTTGGAACATAAATAAAACGTAATAAATAAGTAGATTCTCTTCTAAAGTAGTTTTTACAAGAAACTAAGAATGCTCTGCAAAAAAAGAAGAAAACTTTTATCCTTGCTTCTGTCGCCAAAATCAGCTGTTCATCGATCCTTCCCTTTTCGAGGGCCGGTATTGTGCAGTTTTGCGCCGATTTTGTCTGCATTTTTTGGCAAAGTTGTGTATCGTAAGTTACTCAGGAGCAACTTATGTTAGATGCAGTCACCTCTTGTCTGCGTCTCCTCTTCTACACACTATTTGGATCACTCTAACATCCGTTCACGTTGAGGTGACTTGAACGTGAACTGATGTGGAAGAGTTGACTGCGGCAGGTGGACAGATGGTCAACTATCAGTTGACTTGACCATCTTATAGCATGGGAACGTGGACGGTGATCAGTTCACATCACCTAAGGTGAACTGATGGGATAAGTTGAGTTCACCTCAACTGATCGAGCTTTACTACGGGCCTATGACTTTCTTGCAAGCGTGTTTGAACTGCAACGTTTTCAAGTGGTCTGAGAGCCATTAAGCACATAAAAGAGGGTTAGCCATGGGCCAAATATTGGCTGCCACACTCGCGATAGCTTATATGGCGAAAATTAAGGCAGCGGCCTTTCAGGAAGATATGAATAAGTGTTTCATTTTGTTCAATGAGCAATCTTAATATAAAAAGCTGACAAGAGAGAAGGCAAAAGACCAGCGGTTGCTATTCTCAAACGTGCAAGGTAATATCACCTCTGGTGCGCACACGACAAATTGGTATCGTAAGCTAGTAATAAAAATATTATCCATTCACTTTCAACCCACCCGCCATGAACAGAGAGAGATATTAAAGGCAGCGTCCCGGCAAAATTTCGCTTCCCGGTTTTCACCTCTTTGGAGCCTTCTCGATATGCTGAAGCCATATCTGAGTTTTTCAGTGCTTAAATGGCAAAAATAAGCCTTTCTCGAAGCTCTCCGTGTCCGCGTTTGTTCCGAATTAAGAGTGAAAAGTGGGTGTGGCCTGGAAATGGACGGCGTCCGGAAGACTTCCAGAGCGGATTTTGGGCTTTGCAGAAGCGCTTTTTGCTCCAGACTTCACTGATCGACTATCTGGAGGATCTCCCACTGATACATTGTAAAATCCCGGTACCCGTCACTTTGAGGGGACACTGCCCTTAACAACATGTTTCGCACTGCTTCTCCAGTCTGGAGTGGTCCGAAAGAAAAGATAGAATTGATACGTTTGCCTCTAGCATAGCGGCCTCTAATGGATACGAACAGCGCGCAGGAAGAACAAAGAGAAGTGTTAATGATCGCGTGTAGATGCACGTTTCCCATTTGCCCAAAAAAGTTACGTTTTGGTTTTCATACATCCATATAAGTAGAGTCATTTTCAACCCGGAGTAGGCAAAACATCCCTAGTGGAGCAGCGAGTCCGCACGCCTACTGGCTCAGCGAGATAGATTACAATGAAAAGACGCGGACTGCAAAGCGGAGCATATCGCTGCGAAGAGTGCACCCGCCAGTCCAATTTCCGCCTAAACTAAGTTGAAACTTGCTATAAGCGCATCTTTGCGACAATGTCCGAAAAGAGCATGATTTAAGAATTTGGTTTTACAGGCTTGCCGCCTAATACATTCAAGACAAGATGCTAGCTCGCAATCATTGTATGATCGGAATTGCGTTACCCCAAATTGCATAATCTGCCCTTAAGCGGAGAAGGGGATCATGGCAACTGGTCATCTACTTAGTTTCATCCATGACTTGCGGCGTTGAAATATATAAGTGAAACAACCCGTTCACTATGTATCTGTATTAGAGAGCATCTAGAAGGCAGAGGTAGAGCACGAATACCAACAACTTTAGGCACCACAGAGTACTGTATTATGCAAGAACAAACTTTGATATCAGTGAGAATCTTGGCGTATGAATTTCAAATGGGCTACGTACTTAAGGCTGAATTAGTGGTCGAATACAAGTTTTAACATTTTGCGTGTTCAGCTTTGAAGAAACTTGTTCTAATCGATCAAATCGTATTGTTACTTACAGGCCGTGACGAAAGCGATCTGCCGAAAACGTTAGCCGTGGATTGAATAAATCAATTGCCAATCTCGTGCATGGCCCAAAAAGAAAGAATAAATTATAAAAAAAGTTGTTCAACGCGCGCCTGAAATCGTTTTTGGAATCAAAACAATTACCGTTTATATGATTCTCAAGTGGGACAAAGCATGGCGTGGATAACGTGGATTGGTGAGGCGTCACCTCGCTGCGGATCTTTGGCGTGTGTGGCAACAAGAACAATGTGGGAAAGCCTGCGCCACGTTTTTTCAAATGCCACGTTACGACAAAATGGGTACGCAATGAGCTTCAAGTCCAAAGCGAGGCGGCGCCTTACCAATTCACGCAATCCATGAGTGTTGAGGAAGACATATGGGTTGATATCGACGGTAATTGGCTTGCGATTAGCGTCAAATTTTTGTTTTTTCCGACATTTCTCAGTGCAGAGGTACGTGCTCGTCTCATTTGAAGACTTGTCCAAGCAACATCCTTCCCTTGGTTTTTAGGGCAACTCAGTCAATTTTTGTCTTATACTGACGTGCAGACCCCAATTCTCATGATTAGCAACAATAACTTCAAAAATTACGACCTTTTCTCGGGAGACGGGGAGGGGGGGGGAGACTCCTCTTCCCCCCTACTCGTTGCGCCACTGGTAGCCACAGTCGCAAATTTAGGATTTTGTATTATAAGCACCTCCTTCATGGCTAAACAAAACAGCTGAATTTGCTTTCCAAAGCAAAATCACTGGTTGCTGCCCTGAGTTAGGTTCCATGGTGCAAGACACAGTAATCGAAGAACAGAATTGATCAGAGGAACAAAACTGTGTTTGGCAAAGGGTATTTTTTTCTCAGCTTTACAGAGCCTAACAAGTAAACCTGATCGGTCCGATTTCAAAACAAGGAGTAGAAATTTCTTTATCAGAAGCGTATATCGTAGTACCGAATCAAAATTTCCAAATAAATAAACACACTTTTTTCACTTTTCATGACTCCATTAATAAAGCGTTATTTGGCCCCATACCTTCTTTAGATGATTAGAAGTGAAGTAGTCCACATTTCCAGTCCTCATTTTCAAAAGTCACTGTATTGATAGATGTTTGCGCCTGCACCAAATTATAAGTGACGAAAAGGACTATCAGTCTAAGTTAACTTGCGATGCATAATAGCATCATCTTCGTGCTAGGGCGTATACTTAGCAAACATAAACCAAGTGCTCATACCTTCTTAACATGCTTTTTTGGGATTGGAGTCCTTTACGCGCATTGATTGGCAAGCAGGTTTTTTTCGTATTCTAGTCAAATTGACTTTAAAGTGTTCTTGTGTATCCGAAGTTTTCTGCGGACTGCTCTCTACAACTTGTGCGTTCTTATGCGTTTGATATGGTACTTTGAGCACACGTGTTAATAAATCTTCAAACGCACTCTTTAGGAAGGGGCAGCTGCGCTGCGCCTGCGGACTAGATCGATTTGTGCGTGGAGCCGTCTCTCATAGTGCATGAGCACACTAGGAGTACATGTACTTTCATAGTATGTGAGCTTATTCTCTGTCCCTTGGTAACGCCGTGCGCATCTTTCTTCAGCCTTTAACACCAAATCCAAGATGTGCTCTGTTCGCCTCCCCAACAGCAACAAGCTGTAGCTCCTGCCATCATCGTTATATTCAACGGTTTCAAAATCTCAGTCAACATGCATAACAAGGCCTTCAAAGTGTTGCAACCACTTTTTCAAGCTCCGCTCAGTGAGTAGTAAGTAGCCTACAATCAGACTACTTTGAAGTTTGTCTGAAACCTCAAACCACGCCTGTATATCCCATTTGATTTTGATGTAATGTTTCACATGCTTAGTCCATTCCATCAAGCTGGCTTACGTTATGAGATTTTTACAATTTTTACGAGAAAATTTGACCAGCTATTTACTACTACAACATCAGCATGAAAAAATCATACAAGTGAAAAACACTACTACTAAAAGAGCTTTATGATGACAATGCACCTTCAAAAGGATAAGCGAATCATTGAGTGCGGGATGTTGTCCAAAAGTGTCCTTTGAATGGATGAAATTGCACTTGCATCAGAAAAACTTATTCATCAAACTCTATTTTTTTAGCCCTTCTTTTGACAGAGACCGCATTTCGGGACTAGTCTGTGGAAAAATCGGCGAGAGCTTTTCAATGAAATAATGTCGCTTTTAAAGATCAGGAACTTCAAATAAGGGTGAATGACTATGGAACCGGAAACTAAACGCAGCCTTTTGAGTACATCAATTTTCACTCAAAAGATGACGCACTTGAAAGCTCATAGACATGTTTCTCTCAAAACATTGAAGCTTTTTCTGAGCTTTTGGCTGCCGAAATGATGCACGGCCAGTCTACTTACGTCAGTTTCTCTCATTAATATCGGACATTCGCCACTATCCTCGAATCATTTATAAGGATGCGTTCGTGAAAGCAGAGCTAAAAAGAAGTCTGCCTGCAGTCTCACGTCTGCTCTTCCAGATGGGTTCACGCTTAATTTTGGTCCTTCTCATGATTGCCGCTGTGTCTGTTGTTGAAGCACAGTTAAGTAAGTGTCAAATTTAGTGACTGCTTTGAAACTATATAGAACAAAATTGTTTTCTATGCTTTTGCGTTTTACGAATTGATTCAGGCTACTACGGCGGTTATCCCTGGGGAGGATACGGCCCAGGCATGTGGGGATATCGACCGTGGTGGTGGCGTAGACCGTTCTTTGGACCTATGATGTGGGGAGGATACGGGATGATGCCCTGGATGTACGGAGGATGGAAGAGAAAGTAAAAAAAATGATCAAGAATTATTCGATGCTTCTTGCCGCCTTTGTACATTCGATCTCTATTTTTCTCCATTACACTTTGTTTCATAAATTAAGATTCTCCCGCGAGTTTGAAGCACTGTGCGTCTACTTGAAACTTAGAACATATTTTTATGAGGCATTTGCCTATCAGAAAGCGCAGTGGATGCTATATCGCTTACAAAAACTTAGATGTTGCGTTTGAAAGTTTTACCATATGCAATTGCATTCTTGTGTGGACGGCTACGAGTTATTATTCTTTTTTCGCAATGTAGGTCGAATGTACCTAACGTAATGCAAGATGAATTACTCTGCGAACACAACCTTTTTCTCTACCATAACCCTTTGGTAGCAGTAAAACAGCTTATCACTGACACCTTATGAAAACATTCGTATGAAGATAGAAGTGAAGAAAGGGCAGCGATGAAGCACAGACTATGTACAGTCTGTGTCAACCAAGAACTCCCTTTTCCACTATCGCAATCGTCAGGCCACCTTGATGCGCGTATGGTTATAGCATTTTACCTGGCTTTATCGTTTGAAGACCCACACGCAAGACCCTTGCGTTGCGGATGCGCTAGTCCTACAGAAAAGGCTTATGATTGACACAAGCTGTCGAAAATGCTCTCCATTTTCTCTTGTTTTTCAATCGTCCGGATGGTAAAGATAGTACGTTTCGTACGCATTCACTCAAAATGGCTGTTATGTACACACAATTACTGAAGCTTACTGAAGCATTGTTGATTTAATTCACGTTAATGCACGAATTCTTATCAGGACCAAGCACAAAATGGTAAACTTTCGAAAACTTTCGAAAAACGCTTTTCCCCTCAATATCGCACTTTTTTCGGGCTCCAACTGCGTGCAGCGTTCAATCGGAATGAGCTTCTTCAATTAAGACAGATTTAGGATAATACCATAGGGTTTAGCGAAGCAAAAGAGTATTTGGAAACAGATTTCTCATATGTAGTAAGGTTTCCAAAAGAACAGATGTAAAGGATGGTACTTATTATATTGAGCGCTGCCAATTTTTAATCGGCATTCCGAATGTCGGTTGCTAATCTACTGGAAAGGGTGTTACGCTCTTTATTTGAGTAAGTTTTCCATAGAAGTTCGCAGTTCGCTTACTCTTCATCGAGCGCATGCACTCAAAATTTGATATCACATCATTATGTATCGCGAGCGAATCATTTTTTTACAAAGTAGTAGCGAGAAATTCTCAAGAGGAAGATTGCCATGCCCCCTGTCCATGTTTTTCGTAGTTTCTCGTGTATAACACGCAGTTACTGAAAAGCTTTTCAACGCTCTTCGCTGAGTGGGATAGCTGGGCAAGCACAATTAACGTGAAGATTAGTACTTTATAGAAGGGAATGCCGGGCAGCATAGGTGACCAGTCCTTCGAGTACAGCTCCGCAAAATTCAGAGTCAGAATCAAAGTTTTGTCCAGCATTGACTTGAAGCAGGGCCAGGCGGGGTGGCGCTTTCACAAGCTGGATATCGTTTTTGACCCGAAAAAGCAAAGAAGAAGTTGTATTCTAGGGTTCGAGGCGGAGCCCCGGACCTTAAAATACGACTTCCTTTTCGTTTACCGATAAACAATGCACATATCATTCTTTATTCATCATTCCTTGTTGATGTTACTGTCCTATGAACTTAGTTTCCAGCAATGTGGAGATTCTGTGCTTTGATCGCTAGCCTGCCCGTAGGCGGGAATTCAAATCGCAATTCTTGTAAGAGGAAAATAACAAAATAGGCTCGTTTTTAATGCACAAGTAACGATATGGCACCAAATTTGCTGTGTAGTTGGAGGACCATGAGCACAAAAAAGTGTGAAAAATTATAAGAAACTTAGGTGAATTTAAAAAATGGTAAATGTTTTTCGAAATTAGGTGGCTCCCGCGCCGCCTGGGAGCCACCTGGAGTGGCCCGGATTTCTTTACATAAATGTAAACTAGGTCGAGAGTATTACTACATGTTCAAATCCGCTTCCAAAACTACCAAGGCACCGCTTCGATACAGCCCCAAATAGGGTTCACAGCGTTATGTCGGCCTCGGAAAGCGCGCTCCAATCGCAATCGGATATTGTAAATTGTGTTTCGCATCTGACTAATAAATAAGTAGTATTCTAAATATATAAAAATTGAGATCGTCAAAGTTTGAGCAAATCTTGACCCTATGCTTTTTTATAGATTCCTTTGCGGATGAACCCATTGAGCTGAACCCTTGAAAACATATGTTTTCGGCCTCGGTAGATGGTTTTAAGCTACGCTTCAAAGCAATTTGTGGAATTCTTCTATCGATTTAATGATTTTTACCACCTTGCAAGGAAAGTGAACACTTACCAGCCGCTAACAAACTGCTTGCACATTTTGGTGCGAACAATGCAGTGAAGTTCATTTCCACTTTAAAATTAGAAGGTGCAGTCACTCCAATAAGCCTTCTGGGGTAAGCTGGTGCAGGAGGGTAAGGGGGAGGGCTACAGTGCAGTATTAATACTGCAGAAAAGGTGTGGAGAATATGGCCAAAAAGGACGGGAAGTAGAAGGACAAAGTGTGGTTGTTGGCCATCCCCTCAAACGATGACCCGGGCTGGACCAGGAAAGCCAGGTAGTACTACTATAATAAGCGCTGAGGCCGCCCATCTTATTATTTGTGTATATCTGTTTGTCACGGACGTACGGGGGTCAAAAGTAGGGTCAAAGGGGCAGTCGTAAGAAATTTTGGCTTCAAAGGGGATATCGTTTCGAAAAATTCTGAAATGCCACCTCCTGCCGGGCCTGTTGTGTATACAAACGCAAAGTTTGGGCATGGGCAGTTCTTCTCCACAGCTGGCTGCATTTTTCATCACAAGAATCCGTATATAAATTGCAGTTTGCAGAATGTTGTTGAAAATTATATGTTTCTGGGGTACAAGCTATAGAGGTCAACACTTCGTTTACCCGCTTTTACAATTCAAGAAATGCACAGGTTTTCCTTAGCGCACTCTAATTTGATAGAATTTTTTTGTTATTTGTTTTCCTACCTGTCGTGTTGTTGATCGCTTCTACAGTACAGTTCATTCATCATCCAGTATGAGGTGTGCTGGGACTGTACGGTAAAATTCGCGCGTGGCGAAGTGACGGTACAACAACAATATTGGTCAGAGTCGATACCACAGGCAAGCAATGATCCTATGTGTCATTGCACACAGTATCCATTTTTTTTCGTGTGGTCCTAATGATCAACATACCTTGAGTAGAATATACCTTGCTTACCCGCATTCACGAGATATGCTCAACCAGTAACTTATGTCCATCGTATCATGAAAACATATCTTGAGCCATGAGATGTATCCACCAAAATACCTTACGGTAAATTTTGCTTTGCTTGATAATGGTATAAAATTTACTTTGAGTTATGAACTTGGGTTAACTTTAGGTTGGAGTGTTAGTGAATATTAATGACTCAAGGCATGTTTTACAATTGTGGAGATCAGTGGCGAACCCAGGATCTCATGTCCATTATGAGAGTGTTGAAATTTTTAGATTGATAATGCATTTAGCCACACATTCCAAAAAAATTCTTGAGGTAATTTCCAAAAGTCTTGCTCGCCCACAACCCCGAAACTGAAAAGCTTTTTCTACAAGGCTAGCTAAATTTCCAAATCTCCCATTCTTCACAAGTATAAAGAAGTCAGAGTTCACTCTGCTCTGCCCTGGACTAGTCGGTCATGTTGACCGCTTTTACCACACTAGTCAAACAGCGAGTTTCTTCACTGCCTTCTTCGTCCAATGCCGCTGAACAGCAAGGCCAGTACGTTCTACTCCAAACACGATTGATAACAGACGCTGAAGCAAGGAAGAAAGAAGATCACCCAAGACGAGGAAGAAGAGAGAAAAAGGAAGTTGTCTGTGCTTGAAAATCTACGTTTATGCATAGATCGCATTTGTGTGCCTCAAATTGCAAGTTGCAACAACGTCAGCAGGCAAGTAAACTAGAAACAAGTCACTTGCAGGTTTTTAACTTACGTAAGTGATTTCGAAGATTTCACTACCCATTCTCCAGTGGGGGGGGGGGGGTGGAGGGCCCTCGGTAAGCCACTGGTTGATTTATTAGGCTTTAGAAGGTTCTGCCAGTATCTCTCTACCAGTGCGTCACCTTTGCTTTGCAGAAGTTCGCACTGGCTACTATCTGTATATCTTCATCATGCTCAGACATTCGCCATTGACTTCCGCAGCACAAAACGAGGTGTAGTCACGGAATGCTTGCGCTCCCGAATCGGTGTCCGGACAAAATCAGAACAACTGATTGTATTTGTTCATAAATTCGTTCATAATTTTCACTTTTGAACGGCAAAATCAGGTGTCCCGATCGACATATTTCAGACAAAATCGGAATACCTGCGGAAGACACCATAATGTCCCGATCGCGTTCAGAGCCTGCGGCCTACGCTCTTATGAACGGTTTTTCATCCTCTATCTGTCTTTTCTCACGCCTCCTTCACTTATGTGCTCTTGTCTTGGGTCTCAATTCTGACGCCCGTTATTTTTCTGCTCGTAAAATGCAATCAAAAGTCATGAAATTTATGAACAAATAAAACATAACATTCTCGGACAGGCTTCACAATGGAACGGGAATGAAATGCACAAGCAGGAAACAAAATTTAGAGGATCTACAACTGCAAGACAAGGTTACGAGACAAATACAGCAAAAACGAAAATGTAGGCAATAACATTAAACTTCCTCAATCTCTACAACTTCATCTTCAACGCATTCCGTCTCCTCATCGACTAGTTCCTCAATGATGCTGCCCCTTCGATGCCTTCAATGACGACACGCTTTTTCTGAAAATCAAAAATTATTAATACCAGTGATTCAGTGCGTCCCCAGGATTTCCGCTCGGGGGAGGGGGACAAAAAATTTTTTCGGATGAAGGTGCGTGGCGCTAGCCACGCACTCCGGAATATTTTTGGGCCGAAAAATTTTTGAGGCCGAAAAATTTTTTACGAGGCTAATTTCAATTTTAAAAAATTTTGAAAATTGTGTCAATTATTTACAAGCAAAAAGAAGTCACTTGCACATTTTTATAACACATTTAAGTAACTTTCAAAAATTTCATTCCAAAATTCCCATTCTCGGGGAAAAGGGCGTCCCGTCTCCCTCTCGGTACGCCACAGCAGTGCTTATATGAAACAATGAATCACCTTTGACGGAAGAAGCGCGGCTCTTTCAGGGTCAAAATGGTAAGTGTGGATGTCTGCGCTGCAAAAGT